TTTTGTGCGGAACCCGTCCGGTGCTGACGAGAGTGTTTTGGAGGCTGACCCTGCGGCATCACGGCCGAGAAACCCTATGACACTCCCGGAAGTAAAACGATGTGACTGCACTGCCACAGAAGCCGCAACGAGGCAAGACCTCAGGAGGCCTGAGGCACTGTGCTTTCGGACGTTGCTACTTCTTGTGATCAGTGCTATTCGATGATGTGACGACATGATTGGCAGTGCGAGTGCTTTCTTCGTCTGCTCGACGATGAGCAACGAGCATGAGTTCCTCCAGACGTATCTCCGTTATGGCCTTGACAAAGTCCACGAGGCCAACCTTGAGTTTCCGCTTCTGATTGATCCTGCCGGTCATGGGCCGTGCGGTACTGGGTGACTCGGGGTTGTGACAAGTGTGGCGAGCAAGGGCTAGAATATCGCAGATGATTGGTCGTCCTTGCCCTGGCCATGCAACAAAAGAGGCAAGTATCATCACAGCTCCAACCGCCATCAACCGCCGTAGCACTGCTAGGCTTAGCATGCTCATGATTCGCCAGCTGAATCGTCCAAACTGAAGGCCAGTCTGAAACATGTCTACAGGAGGGCCGTATTGGAGGGCGGGGCATCTTCAGACGGTCCGAGAGATCAGTGTGGTCGCATCCTGGTCGCTGCCCAGCCTTGGAAGGTGCTACTCTGTCCGTAGCATTTCTTCCCCGAGGTGTTGTCATTTTTGATACGACGCTTGCCAGCGCCTTTGCTATCTCCAAACAGCTTAAGCTATCAGTCTGCTGAGCAATTGGCTTAGTTGTTTTCATTGATTGCTCCTCTCAGTAGCCGTCGTTCTTTGAGCCTGGGTTAGCTGCGCCTATGCCACAATTGGAGGCACGCCGGGTTGGCGGCGATGGATGATTCAGCAGAGGTGTAGCGATCTAGATACTCCGGATAGGTAGCCATCTAAAGCCATCTATCCAATTAGATTTCGACGGCATGAAGATGGTGACTTGCAGGGGACGGACCGGGGACGGAATTGTGAAGCGAGCATTGCCATAGACATGATGGCGCGGTGCTCCGTGTGCCACGGAGTTGTGGGATGAGGTGAAAACTTCTGGAATCCTCTGGATTAGGTTAGCTAGTTGGGAGAGAGGCTGTGTTAGCTTTGATGTAGGACGATTTTATGGCGTAGCATCGTGCGGGCAAGTGTGTTTTCTGTTTTAGGTGTTGCATTGCAGTGGTGATGAGTTTTGCAAGCTGTTGGAGGTGCTTTGGGCTTGGGTGATTTGGGAAATCTTGCATTCGTTCGGCAGGTTGAGAAATGGGGGAAACATCGTGCCCGGGCGTGGGCACGGGCGAGTATGCATGTGAGTGAGATGTGATACTGAGGGGGAACACACCCTCCATAGTTCTAAGGCATCGTTTACGAAGCGCTTACAAATGGCCCACAGAGCAAGGGTAGGGATCAAGGCTCAACCGGACAGAGAGGGGCTTCACGGAAAGACCAAGTCCATCTGGGTGCGGTGCTCCATCGGGAATCGGAAGCTGAAGCTTACCATTCCTGTCATGTGATTCTCGCGGGGTCGTACGATCCTTTAAGCGTTGAGCGATCAACTACTCTGGGAGCTGTCTTGCGCAGCATGGAGATTCTAGTTGGAGGGACTCAGCAAGCAGGTAGGCATCCAGTGTCCACACTTCCGAGGTTGTAACTGTAGGTGTCCATGGTCCGTTCAGGAAATGACGGGCCGGCAGCGCCTTTGTGCGGAACCTGAGCGGGAACTCCACTGATCCACGGCAGCGTCTAGACCCTCATGATCTGAGCCGCTCCTACCTCACTTGTAAGCTTCACATGATGCGAGCCCTGAGCTCTCAGACTCAGCTCCGAGCGGTTTGGGTCTTGTTCCAGCCCTGTAGAACCTCATCACCTCGCTCCTGAGCAGTGTGGCTTGAGCTGGCAGCCTCAAGAGCAAAGGTGCTTGGACCCCAAATGCGACCTGGCTTCATCCAACCCTGAAGCCTGACAAGATTGGACTTCGGAAAACCTCAACCCCTGAATTCTTGATCCCGGGCAGCAAGCAATGGCTCGACGTTCCGGGCTCAACATCCCGCAAACCCCAAACCCTCCGAGGACGGGACCTCGAAGGCAAAGAGCTCCTGCATCGGGGTCGACAGCTTCTGCGTGCGCCTTCCAAAGGGTACGGCGATTCTCTGGGTTGCGGGGATCTGTGGACAGTGAAGGACATTTGCGTATGTGCTTTCATTTCATGACGCTTCGTCGGGGATCGTCGGGGCTTAGGGCTTAGGGGTCTTCAGGTATCAAGCAGCTCGGCCAATCTTGGCCTGACTTGCAAATAAAGCGACTGCCTGAAGGTTCCGAGGCCTCCCACCGTCACTCCTAATCCCAAACGACGCTTCGGTTAACTGCGGAGCCACCTGAGCAGCATGCGCAGCAATGCACGATGCTGTGGATGCTCCAGGTTCAGATCGTAACGAGCTGTAGGATCCGACTGCTCCTTAGTGTGCCGTCGCGATGCGTGCATGCCTTTGCCTCTTCGTTTGAAAACCGAACCTAAGTGGCTAGGTTTCAAAAAGACCCGAACCCTTGTGTCGCCTTTTGAGGTAATGCCCCGAAGTGAGCGAAAGGTTTTTAAACACGAAATATACGTTTTCCATAATTTGCATGACAACCGACCGCAATCTACCGCAATCCCGTTAGAGCCTCTGTTTCAATCTTTGCTATGGAGCGCTGGCTACATTCAGCTTCTTCATAACTTATCCTTGTGCGACAGCTTCTAGGCGCTCGTACATCCCATGTGTTAAGGCATTGTGTGCTGTATTCCTTAGTAACAGCTCCTGGAGCCCCATCACAAGCCATGTCCCAGTCCCGACCATGACTCCTGGGCATTTGACATATAAGCGGAAGTACGGGACAGCAGTTCCCGAACTCACTCTCGCAAACCCAGTATTCCAGAATCTTCAGACCATTATAATCTGTGCAACCTTCCTGCTTCAAAGTTGATACTGCTCGAAGTGATATGGTGTCCCTCCTGAAAGAAGTTTTATGGTTCATCCCCATGTAGTTGGAAATTGCGTTGCTATAAGTTCTTCTTTGTACCAGAAGAGGAACCTGAGAGTGTGTGCTTCAAAACAGTGCTTATTCTCCCCATGAATTCGTATCAGTCTTGTCTCGTCGGAATCTCGTTTCCTTGGAATGAATGGTATCTCAACTGACCTTGTTGTTCCAATGTCCTGGCGCATATGCTCCTCAATAAATGCCACATCATATTCTACACTAGTCTTCGTTCATGGTTTTGCGCGCTCGGCCAGCCGGCGATGGATGACTATCGCAACCAGCTTTGCTCGTGCGATCTGCTGCGAAGACGAGGAATCGCGGGAACTGGAAGATCTGCACTTGAAGATCCCAGCTTCGCGACAAGTCCAAAGTGCTATCAAGGTCTGCTATCTGCTTTGCAGCTCAGCCTGAAACTGAAACTCTCACTGATTCGAGAGTCGCCAAGTCCAAGACAAGTCAGAGCCTCTGCTTGCGCTTTGGACGGCGCCGCTAGGATTTCCAATGCTTGGGCGCGTCCTCCGGCATAACCCGGGAAGGCATAGATAGAACCTCGGCCACACAGCTGCATTCTCAAACTCGATTTGCGAATGTCTTTGACCGAAACAGACTTAACTGAATGTGTATGCTGTTTGTTTGCTCGTCCAATCATCCATCAATCCATTAATTCATCCATCCATCCAGCGGCAAGGATGATGTGTGCTGCTCAGGTGTCCGCGGGGAAAGAAGATGTATTCATGCGGCAGAACGAATACAGCTCCTCTGTCCCGAGCGGCTCCAAGTCTCAACGCAAGCCTGTTGAGACCTTTGTGAGTCTAAAATCCTGAGGCGTGCTCCAGGCACAAGAGCTCAGCTCCCGACCTTTTGCTTGGCCTTCTCTTCCAGGGCTATCATGTGCAGCGTGCCTGTAAAGATGAGATGGCATGCATGGCTCCCATCCGAGTTAGATACATGTGACTGCAGTAGCATCCTCAGCTCGATGACTACTTGGCATCACGACTACCACGTTGACAACCACGACGACGTCGAGGAGCGCTACTACTAAGGCTGCCGTTCGTACTGCCATTACCGGGACGTACGACGACGACGACGACGACTGCTGTTGCTACCCCAACAAGACGTACAACAGGTACAGCAACTACAACAAATGCAACAGCAATAGCAACAGCAGCAACAACAACAGCAACAACAGCAACAGCAACGGCAACGGCAATGGCAACAGCAACAACAATCACAACCACAACCACAACCACAACCACAACCTGAACCTCAACCACTACCACAACCACACCACCACCACCACCACCACCACCACCAGGGCCAACAACAATGACGACGACCACGACGACGGCTACAACAAAAACTACGTACTACTTCTGCTACAACTGCTGGTTCCTCAACGAGGACCACGACTTGAACTGCTGCCACTAACCTTCATAGCGCATTGCCTCTATTACATTACACCAAGATGACCGATTGGCGGCATTTGTGCTACAACGCAAGCTGCAAGGAAATCCGTGTTGGTGGTATTGCTTTCAAACGGTTGATGTGTCTACTGAGAAAACCTCGATCGTGTTGATGGTGACAATTCTGATGCTGTCGACGGTATCGCTGAGGGTGCCGATGATAGCGGGTATGGCCATGATGTGGGCAATTCGATTTCGTCGGCCTGTCTGACCAATGTGGCAGGCTTGTTGATTTGGGATATCTAGAGCGAGGCCCATGTGTTTCGATCTAGTGATGCCGGGCGATCAATAGCATGAGGGCGATGCTCACGTTGCTTGTTGGATTCGACTTCCCCCCACAAGCATCGACACGTGTTCCCTTTTGGCCATACTTGCTGATGGGCCAGCTTCACTCTCCGAGTAGCTAGCAGCCTTGCCAAGCCGGTTCGAAACGGCACAGCTGCACTTTGCTTATGGCACTGGCGTTGGTGGCGATCAGCCCGAGGTGGCCCCTAAGAAGGACCGCACTCACCAACAGTTTCGTAGGAAGTGGCTGGCGACATGCTGTATATAAATTGACGCCAAACCCCGAACTGCACACGATAATTTCGGCTGCCTTTCACCGCTTCGACAAGGATCCCGACGGGAATGGAGAAAATAGCAATGCCGAAGACTACCTGAGCTTCGGCATAAGCTTCAGGAGTCGCAGGGCTTAGAGGCTTCGGATCAGACTTGGGAAACCCTTTTCGGAACTGATAGGCTTGACCCACGCAAGCCATTCATCTCGTGGCAAACGCACACAGACAGGCAGGCAAACAAACACACACACCCGCGAGCGAGCACACCAGTGAACGCAAAACACGTGTACACCCCTTGGTATTTGACCGTTGAAGATACGGATCCCTTTCACAATGCTCTCCTTCCGGACATCCCTGTCTGCTCGAAGTTGCACCAATCCGACATTCGGAAAAGTCGCGTAGAAGATGCATAGCCGCGAGCCGGCGTAGGTGAAATCCACATTCGCCCACTCGCCGGTCAGGAAGATAGAGCACCAATACATCGCCTCAGATCGCTCAGCTCCTGGAGCTTAGGACTCTGTCGAGTTCACAGACTGATACGAAAAACTACACCTCTCGAACATCCCTAGAGCAACTGGGACCAGCACTTTGGTCTGCTCCACTTCTCAACAAAAGAGCAGCATCTGATGATGTGGTGGAGTTCGCTGGGTCTGTATTCTGCGGAACAGCGTGACGAAGCGATGTGTAAACACAATTGCAGCATGATAGAAAGCCACGAGCTGTGGCACAACGGAGTCTATCAGGAATCCATGCTGACACGTCAGAATCCCGTGCATGCTGATACAGCACACACTTCGAGAACAAGCAATCTAGCCAAGAGGCGGATGGCACGTCTGGCATGTCCTCGAAGGTACCGGGACCACCGCACTGCTCTTTGGCGTGCCTGAGGTCTTGCGCAGGCAGGTTAGAGACCCTGTGCCTTCCCACAGTGCAGTCACACTCGCTTCTGAGCATGCTGACTCCATGCTCGAACATACTTGGCGAAAGCAAGGTACGGCAGAAGCAGGATTTTGCGCAGCACTTGCAGCTTAGACACTTTTCTTCGCACTCTGTGGCTTCATTCTGCCACTCGTTCTCCAACCACATGAACAGGGCTGACGTTGTAATCCAGACCTCAAGGAGATGCTGAAAGCATTCGTCCAGGCACAAAGTTTCCTGCCCAAAGGAGGGTCTTAAGATTCTGCAGGTTAGATGGATGATGAAGCCGCTGAAGCTGAAGACCCTCCAGCCGTTTGCGCTGTTTTGCAGCTCTGCGGCGTTCAGTGCCAAGTATGCGGGCACCTTCGCAGAAGCAAGTGTATGGCGATTATGCATACGTAGTGTATGAACAACAGCTTTTCGCATCTACCGAATCTGCGGCTTCAATGCCGATGCACTTGTCTTAAACCTGAGAATCCGGCAGCTAGCTTCCGGCTTGCATCTTGCAGCACACGGCCTGCCAACAGCCGCAGGGAAATTGAGGAATGGATTCAAGGTTCAAGTTGTATGCATGCGCATGCATGCCCAAGCCATGTGCATACAAAAAAACAGGCTCCCCTTCCAGGCCGAGGGATGAGCCTTGAAACTTGAAGCATCACCCCCATATAACCCAAACGGTCGGGATACGGATTGTCTTTCAACGGCCTCAACGGGTATCGGCTGAAAGTGCTTTTCCCCTCAGTCTTGCCGCCGGCGTGTGCGTGCATGTTTGGTCGACTGCCCCTCCACTTCTGATCCAGCGCTTCCGAGCTCAGCACGTCGGTAAAGTGTTGTTCCACAGAAATTCAGAAAGGGGCTGGCTGACCGACCGCGCGACAATATTTCTATCAAGCCGCCTGGCTTGGGCGGGACGGCCCCCGAGGGCTCGGGGAGGCACGCCCGCTTAGAGTGCTGCACTTCTAAGATGACGAATGCAGAGGAGCCAGAGGGTGGGAGGGACACATCTACTTCACAAAGGATAGACAATAAGGAGCAACATACAAGTTTGACACTTGGGAAGAAGCTGACATTGTCAGCCCGCCACTGCAGTCCAAGATTCTCAAGAGTAAAGGGAACAGGGTTTGCAACATACTTAACGGACCAAAGGCTGCCAAACCCTTTGCAAGACCCGATGTGGGGCGATTATGGCAAGAGTGAGTTTATTGCGTGCTTCGGTCCATTACACTTGCAGCAGATCTCAATGCTCCTCCGGCATCGCTGTATGCTACGGGTGCAGCCTAATATTTGGACTTCCGTCTGAAAGACGTGGAAGTTGAGAATCCGCACAGCGCGCAGCATACCTGTTTCACAGCTGAAGTTTGTCTTTCCAATGGCTTTGCTGGGTTTGGCTCAGCTTGGCTGAAGTGCATTGGCATTGAGGGTGACTGAACCACTCCAAGCAGCTGTGACATGTCGGAAGCTCTATATAACAGTCCGAATTAATCATCCTGTTTTTGCAGTCAACATTGCACTGCGACGATGTCTCTCCTTTTCGAACCCGAATCGATTGCAAGAGCGCATAGCGAATCGTTTGTCCTCAAGATGTCGAAAACCATAAACAGCGACTAAAGTCAATCCGTATGCCGCATGAGCTACTTACTTGCCTCTCTTCCCTTCTCTACACTGTCTTTACATCTGTGGGAGGTGGAGAGGCGGCAGTTTGCCCTGTTCCGGTGTGTTTCCCTGCTTGATTGTCAATGTATTTTCTTGTTTCATTCTCTCCCTCCCTCCCTCCCTCTAGAGGCTGAAGACAGGCGCAGTCCAGCACCTACCTGTAGCAAGCATACGCCCACGTCTCCTCTCTAGATTGCAAGGCAAGTCGCTGAAGCATTCCGCAATGGACTCCTTGTCACTGTGAGGATGGCCTGTGAAGCCCCAGGGCCGGCGGATGCATGCGGATTCTGCGTCCTCTATTGATTCGATCTGGAACCCGGGGTGTGAAAATTGCTTGAAGGCGTCCAACTCCGGGCAAGCAAACCTCTCTGTAGTGGTCCTCGTGGAGTCGGCTTGTGCTTTGTCTTTTTGCTGCGGGCTTCAGCCGGAAGGACTCTGAACCTCTTCGCTCCAAAGCATATGCAATGTGCCTCGTGAGAGCCAGTTGTAGAAGACGAAGATGCCAGGCAAACATCCGATGAGGTCCTCAGAATGATACTTTCCGGTCATAAAGATCAAAGCATTCGAGTAGTAAGGGTCTCATGTGCTCTACATTGCAGTTTCTGCGCTGCAACCTTCAGGGTGACGGCTCGCTGCTCGGCCCGGCTCTGTGGCCACGGCTTAGTCTTCGTGCGGCCAAGCTTCGATAATGCCGAAGAAGTTAAAGACCTCAGACTTCAGTCCAAAAAAACCGCGGGCAGATCTCGCCATGGACTCATGTCGTGGGGCACTCATGATACCTCTCACCGAAGCGCAAAATCCAGCGAATCCTCCACCACACCAGCCCGAAACACCGGAAGCCGCAAAGACAAAGCCACCAACGCACCAACCGGCCCGAAGCCTTTTCCCAAAACCGAGGCTTCTGCGCTCTTGGGCCGAGCCAAAAGTCGGACCACCTGGGCTTCCAACACTGGCCACACGCCGCCCTTTTCATGTCTTCTTCTGAGGAATGGGGTTCAAAGTTCTGCGTTCTGTCTGGCGGAATCCCGCCAAACTTTCGTGTTGAGCATTGAAGGGACAGAGCCATTGAGCACCCGCTAACGAAGTTTGGGCGGCGATTAGAGCAGTGACACGGGGCACTAAGATGCAAAGGCGACTTGATTTTTCCCGACGGGATCAAAGGAGTCTTTTGAGTCATCCTGGCAGTCTCAGACTGGGACAACCCACATCCGCTTAAATGCAGCGCCTTACACATTGAAGCAGCCTTGTTTAGTCCTACCGGAAAATTGAAGGTCCCTGGTCGCATGGTTTCCTATCGACCGGAGCCTTCGGAAGCATACTTCTCCCGCATGATGTTTGCCGGAGCTGAGCCGAGTTCCACACCGGTGCCTCCGTAGGATTTGGGCAAATTCTTCTCTGGAATCACCTCTCGTAGTGTTTTGAAGGACTCCTCTTCGCCCACAGCGACCCTGAGCCGCTCTTGCTGCTTCTGCGACAGAAATGGCCGGAATATAGCCCAAACGGTCTGCCACCACTCCGGTGCGTTCACGCAGACCACGAGACGCTCGCGATCAGGCATATGTGTCTGAACTGCATTGTAAGAGGCCGAGAAGACTCGCAGCATCTTCGGTGTGATATTGGTAATTCTGAAGCCTTTCATGTCAAGGATGATGGTGAGGTACTGCTTGTCATCGCGTTTAAGCCACACATCCCATGTAAACAGAGTCTGCCACAAATAATCATTTTTGACGCGGTCTACTGTCATGCCGGCCTCATCAAGACCAGCTGGATTAAGGTCTCCGGCTATGACCCAGTATGTCATCCTCCCAGCCTTGTCTGGAAGGTGGAGGTATGTAGGATAGTTCTTCTGTATGGTGAAGAAATCTGGGCTCGGTCGGCTGAAAATGCCTTCATCATCGATCTCACATCGCCACTGCAGTGTCTCGACCCATCGTTTCATGGCTTTCTTAGCATCTCCGTTGCAGTGATCTACCATATATTGTGGTAGTGCCCTATCCAGCTCTCTCAACTGTCTGGGGCTGGGGTCGGGGCCTAGCGCTGCTGCTTGGCAGGACTTTGTTGTCTCTTTCACCGGAGCTCTTGCTGTGAGGGAGAAGCCCGGGCATGCGGAACTCACCGCCAGGACGACTCCCAGGGCCAACAATTGGAGTTGACCCAAGAGACCTGGTTGCGCTCTCCTTTGCGCTGGCCTGGTCTTCGCGCACTGGGGCCTGCGCGGCATGGCGACACCGGCCAGAGTTCTGTTGGAGCCCATGCTGCACATAATATACAGTATATGTGTGTGTATATATATATATATGAGTGTGTGTGTGTGTGTCACCTATAACAAATGAATAAACAACTATACATACGCATACGCACAAGCACACACGCACACAAGTGCACTAGTACGATAGATAGATAGACAGAAAGAGGGATAGGTAGATAGATAGATGGGTAGATAGATAGGTAGATAGATAGCCAGATGGGCAGATTTAGCTAAGGTATGATAAGATAAAGCAAGACAAGATAGACAAGATGCGGTACGAGTAAGATAGAAAGAGAGTTGGACAAACAGGGTTAAACTCGATTCGACTCGATTCGATTAGATTAATTAGGAGACGTAGATAGACAGGTAGATAAGCAGATAGGTAAATAGAAGAATGGAGAGCTAGATAGAACTATGGCAGACCTAGTAAATGTAGCATAACAGTATACATTGAAAATAAGCAGAAACAAACGCATAAGTACAAGTTGCACATATATCTACGTATCTATGTATGTATGTATGTATGTATGTATGCATGTATGTATATATGTATATATATACATATCATTTCTACCTCTTAGTATAATGGCACAAACAGATAGATGGACAGCATCGGTTCACGAGCTAGGCATCTTCAGCCCGTCTCAACAACGCATCTGCACAGACAGACAGACACACACACACACACACACGCACACACACACACACACACACACGCTGTGACTGACTGACTGGTCTACAGCCCGGGAAGGAACTTAACACCATCATGACTAGGTCGAGTCAATGGAACGATGTGCTTGGCCTGAAAGCCCCGCTAGACCCACTGTCATTGTCAGCTTGGCGGCATAGTCGACAATGAAGACAACGGTGCAAGCGGCTTCAACGACCAGGCAAATGGTGGAAGCAGTTTTGTTGTTGTCCTCAGGCGCGTGCTTTCGTGACATCAAAACCGAAAGATCTTCTATGTAACAGGTGGAAACTGGGTCTCTACGGGGGCCTCCAAGCCCCTAAGGTACAACCACCGAACAACTTCAACCTGAGTCCCGGTCAATCTCTGGGATGGATGCGGCCATGGTGTTGATCAAGCTGACGACCTCGCTGGGCAGAGCGCCGAAGTCTCGGAATCTTGAAGGTGTTCAAAAACTGAGGGTCAAAAAGTGACTCAGAATAGCGGTTTCAGCGGTGAAGCCGACCCGCTTCCGAGTTGCAGTCACGGTCACAGACTCACGAATTACGGCTTTCGTCATAGAGCAATTGCTAGATGCTCAGGCCAAAGCCGAAACCTAGAGCTTGCACTGAGACTCTGGCAAGGACCGTGTTGAAAAACAGGGCGATCCCGGCTCCTCCCAGACAGCAGTGCACGAAATCTTCGGCAGCCCAGCACTCAAGGCATCAAGTTCTAAGCCACTAAGCCTTAGCGTCATGGCAGGCGCAGCCAGAGATCATCACAAATCACAGGCCATAGCTGCAGTGCCCGGCCTGTAGGAGTGCGATGGAATTTAATTGCCTCAGCAACACATCTCCTGTTCCTTTGGAGCAGCCAAAAGGAGACATTACAAGATTATGTGCCGGCCATGTCGCGCCAGCAAAGCTCTGAGTTGAACCGAGTACCTGGATCTTGGGAGCATTTGTGGCTCCGTTTGGGTTCAGTATTACACAGCTTTGACATAGGCAAGGTTGGCTGGCCTGACCAGCCTGCCATTGGACCTCCGTCTCAACCCCAAGATAGCGGTCAAAGTCCAAATCGATTCAACCCTTTGTGGCTAGCCCCTGCTGCTGAAGTAGGAAAGCCAATAAAGTTGATGACAAGACGAAGCTGAGGTGCTGATGTCCGCTGAGCTGGGGCCGGCGTCCCGCTGTTTCCTCGTGAACGCCTGAGATTTGGGCAATCAATTGCTCATTCAGCTTCTGCAACCAGAGCTTGAAGGCTACTCAAAATCGGAGCCTGAGCAATGGAGCTCCCAAACCCTGTGGAACCACCGCACGAAGCTAGTCTGTCCAGGGCCTTTCTGGCCCAGAACAAGCTCCCCTTCTAATTTTGCGGCCTGGTTTCCTGTTTGCCACCACCCTCTTCAGCCCCAGCTTGATTTGCACGGTGGCACGCAAGAAGTCAGCTGACTTCTGATTGGCCTCGAACACAATCGGAAACATCGAGGATGGAAAGCACTGTATCGGGCCTGGGGCACAATGCGCAAAACCCGTGATGTACACCGTGCGCGGGAGATGCTCGAACGACCGTGCATCGAAGTCGTGTGGAAAGAAGCTTGTTCTGATCTGAGCAGCCAGAGGTCAGAACTGCAGAAGCACTCAGCGTGCTACTTGTTCGGAGCCTGAGAACAAGATTTACACCAGCGTTGCAGTGCTCCTGCCGTTCCACTCTCCGCGACAGTTTTCTGACATCTCTGCGTTGAGGCATCAGGGCGATACTGCTCGATCGGCACCACGGCCACGAGATGCTGGGGACACAGTGCTGCATGGTGTGCCATGTGCTGGCAATGTTCCAACCCGAAGCAGCGAGTCTTGATTGGCGAAGAGGAGGCCCCGGAAAGCAACATGGAGCAGCAATCCTACGAGCCCGCTTCCAGGAGAGTTCTAGCTGCAAGTCCAGACAAAGGCAGGCGAAACCTCTGCAACAGCAGCCTCCTGCGTCCGAACCGACGCCAGTGACACGCAACACAGAACAGGCTTGGCAACTCATGCCTACCCAACCCCGGTGCCTCCTCTGTCCTGTTTGTCTCTAAGAAATCAACGAAGCCAGCACTGAAGACGCCGCAAAACGTGGAGATAATGGCAATGCCACCTGAGTTCGAGGTCGATCCAGGCAAGCACGGCGGAATCCGAACTGCAGCCATGGAGCCCATAATGCCCACGAAATGGATGATCTTGGCCTCATCACCCAGTTAAAACCCTGCTTCACACTAGTTCCTTAGTCCTTGCATGTAACTGACATGCTGCCTCGACCGTGTAATCTGTCTCGGGGTAGTCGCCGAAGAGATGAACAATGCTATACTGCAGCGCGGAAAGGACACTCCTGTACCGCTGAACCATCCTTAGAATTCCGGCCAAGGCTAGGTGAGAGCAGTCGGTACGTACAGCGTTTTGGAGTTGGATACTTGTCGTCTAGCCCCTCGCTGTGATTGTCGCCCAACCCAAGCAGCGCTATATCTCTCCGAGCCTCGATTCGATTCAGGCCGGCTACTCCGGAAGGAGCGAGGCCACTGCTCAGACAGGCTGAGTGGCCGCTGAAAACGAATCATGTGCAAATCTCAACACCGAGGATTCACCAATGAGGGTTTCAATGGAGCGAGCCGAGATGCGACAAGCCATCGTCCTCCTCACCTTCGCCGGCAGCCTTTCCATCCTCTCCTGATCACGGTAATCAATTGGGCCATCTCTAGATGAGGTCTCTTCTCGGGATCCTTGGTACAAACCGCACTTGTTGAAGGCGGCTGACACCCCACCCGAGTCTGGCATGTCCACAATACCTGATGTGCCCGCTTCTATTACAAGGCTTGGGAAGTTTCTGTGTGCTGCGTGGGTTTCAGCACGGCTCCGATCTAAATCAGTGAGGCCCCCTCGCCGTTTCAAGCACTGGAAATGCCCAACTACTGCTGCCCAGCAGAGGAGCCTGCTGGTGGGACTGCACCACCAAGTGCCCTCGGATTCTCACAGATGTAGAGCCTTGGCTCCGGGATACTACGCCGGCGCACTCTTGGGAAGAAGAATGCAGAATGATTAAGAACAGTATGAAGTACGACATGGTGACGTATGATGATACGATAATTACATAACTTACATAACATTACATACACGCTGAACGTACGAGACACGGAAGGAACGCCGTAGATGGGATATAGACAACACTTGTAGAAGCAGACCGCACGACGACCAAAAGAGGAAGTGCACAGCCAAAGCTCCTTTTCCATATGCACGTAGCACAGAGTATCGGCTAAAGGC